TTTTTTTTTTTTTTTTTTTTTTTTTTTTTTTTGTTAGCTTGAAGTTGCAGGCAGCAGATTATGGTGAAGGTTGCGTAAATCGTGATGAGGATTACATTACGTGGGTTCCTCCTGACACGCAATCTGGTGATGGAAGAACGGCTTTGAATGAAAAATTTGGTGGTAGATATTAATCGTTGAATTTATTTGCTGTTGATAAGTGTCATGGATGGAACTTTTTCGCTGTTTAAATAAATCACCCTTTTTGATGACTGTTTAATTGGTGATCCTGTACTGGTGTTACCGGCAGGAACTTCCATAGCACTCTAATGTTCTTCGTCAGTGATTTTATTAGTTGTCCATGTTTGTTTTTGGCATTTTATTCATAGTGCGGTACTCTGCCCGTTTGAAAACTAAGCTTTTTTTTTCCTTCAAAGTAGTTACACTTGTTTTCCTAATCTGGAAGTTTTTTTTGGGATGAGTGCAAAGAACGGTGAAGAAAAAAGTTGTTTTTTGCAGCATGTTTTCAGATCGCACTGTAATGTGAACTTTTCAGACAGTCATTTGTCGTCTTTTAATCGTGACGTTTGGTTGCCTTTTCATTTTGAGATGTTTGCTGTAGGGTTAGATTTGTTTCTGACACCGTTTGCTTAGTCCTGGATTTCCGTCATTTATAGGTATGCAAGTGTTACGAGGTTTTTCCAGTGAGCTAGGTATCTGTTTGTAATTCAGTTGAATTTTGTTCCGGAGAGAGCAGTTGGCAAATTATGGGGACCGGATGAAATTTGTTGTGAAACGGTATGGGCGAAGTGTTGTTCTAGTGATGTCTATCATGTGAATTTTTGTAGCCCTAACAGAGTCCAATAATTGCGCCATAAACAACGTTTCCTTACAAATATTTGATTTTTTCGTGTCGCGAGTTCATTCTTCATTTATTTTTCACGTTTACTCGTCCGAATTGTAGACGAGATTGCCAAGAGCAATGTTCACTATTTCGCGAAGGATTTAATAAATGGTCGAAGTGGTGGATTAATTTGGGGAATTTCTTGTCCTTGATAGGTAAACACGTCAAGGGAGGGCCACGAAGTAGCGTCGTTATTGGTACTGCCACTGACTGAGTAAAGTTTGGCAATGATATCTATTGCGGGTGCTTTATCGGTTGTCCACTTTTAGAATCATTTAATAAAATGGTGGACAGTGAAGGAATTTCAACAGCGCGGGTGAAGTGCGTAAGCGTTTGTTTGGTTTGTGCGGTGGCATTGTTGAAAGGTATAACAGATGTTTTCCGCGGTTATTAATTACTGAGGAGGTGATGAGACCCCGCAAGCAAATGCGGTTTACAGTACATGTCTGCCTACAAAACCACGAGTGCTAACAAGCGCGCATTGTACTTCATTATAGTAAACAAGCTAGCCACAGATTAACACTACTGGTTGGTTCGCACTTTTACTCCATCATCTCCCCAGACTGAAGCCTTCTTCCTTTAACCAGAAGAGTCAGAGTTCTTTCGTTCCTAAGTGGAAAGGTTTTAGTGAGGGGAGTTGAAGAAATATTTTACTTTGAACCGGCGATGTTACTGTAAGAAAAGAAAACAAGTCTAAAAGAATAATTCGGGTTTTCTGGATGCTAAGGGTGGCAGAGAAAATGATGAGACTAAAGCCTAAAAAGTTATTGCTTTAGACGGAAGTTTAAACTGTATGGGATGCAAGAAGCATAAAAAATTTTTTAGATGGTGCCGATGTAAAAAGTGGCGTAGTAGAATTTTTTCTGGATAGGATAGGATGGGTTCGGTCACTATGAGAAGAATTACTTTGGTAAAAAACTGTTTAATATGTGCTTATATCTATTACCAGACGTTCTTCCTATAAAATGTTTTATATGTACGGATAGATGCGGAATAGATATTTCACCTTTGAATTTGTGAAAAACTTTTGCTGAACAGTTACGTCACTCAGTGTAGTTGAAAGCGATAAGAACTTTGCACCTTTTCAGAGCCGGTACATCAATTATTTCGATGTTATTTAGCGACCTGCTTTGCCGCAGATAGCATTTGCTACAAAATGCTTTCTTAACTTTCAAAAAGAAAACCGTTTGCTGAAGTCACTATCTAAACAAGTTTGAGTTCACTTTTGTCATATTTTAGTATTTTTTTCACCAGTTTCATTGGCTACGTTTGTTCTTCTTGCAAAGCAGCTCTGCTTGTAGCTGGAGTCATAAAAAACAAAAATTTACTCAGATAATCTCAATATTCCAATTTTTCCGAGGATCTTCATCGTTCTTCAGATGGGAACTTAATAAATATTCTATTTTTAAAACCCAAAATCAAAATTAAGTTCCGACATTTTGGAAATGTAATGCAAAAGAAAAGGCATTACCATGACGATATTCTGGCCAAATACGTTCTCATTTCATGTTGAGGAAGACAGGCAGCGCCGCGTGTATGAAAAAGTATCTAACTTATGACTGTTAAGTCGGTTCCAAGTAACCTCTTTTCTTTGGCACTGTTCCATTACTTTTGATCTTCCTAAGTGGATCTAGCTTGTTGTGGAAGCTGAAACTTTCCGTATTTTCATTGTGCTGAGAGTTAATTTCTAATTCTTTTGTATGCGTTCCTCTCCCACCAAGTGTTTCTGAATAGCCTTCCAAAGACCAGATTTGAAAGACCCTCGTATGGACGGTAGTCAGAAAAGAAAGTTAAAATTGATTTCGCCAGCGTATTTTTTCGGCATTCCCACAAACATCTGTACTCTGAATGATGTATTTATAATAATTACTATAGATTCTTAGAAATATCAGTTTTTGACGGTTTTCTACAAGGTAAGAATGGATAATATCATTCTTTGAATTAAAAGCTGGCTAGTATAAGGTGCTACCAGGGCCAAGGTGGAAAAATATTTGTACTTTTGACATGAAAAACTTGTTCTTTTGTTGCATTTACCTTTGCAGGATATTTTACAGAAAGACGAGAAAATAGCTTTTGCTTAACCTTTCCTTTCACTTAACTTACCTGCATAAAGATAAGGCAAACTCTTTCATGTTCCCACTTTGTTAAATGCTCGTTCTTGTTCTCAAGTTTTTTTCGGCCGTTTAAGCAGCATTCAAGATAGGAACAAGGGTATGTAGTTCGTAAGTTGTCTAAGAGGCTAATAAGAACTCACTAGCTTTGAAGACACATCGAGGATGACTGCTATCTAATAGTGGGAAAGCAGCATCATTAGCGATCATTGATCTTTTATTTACCAAAGACTGATACAGGATAAAATGACTTACTATTGGAGCATACTTAGATGCCGAGGAACAGGTACGTGTATCTCCCTACCCGTTGGACGGTAGCTTTGTAAAGCAGATGTGTTGGGGAACCCATCTTCCTGCAACCTCATACACTTTTTTGCACCTTTTATCGCCTTGTAGGTCTTGTTTTTCGATTGCTTACCCGAATTCTTTATAATATGTAAAGTTGGTCAACAGTAATTTGTATTTTTCATTCGCCCTACCAAACCTCTGCAAAGGACGTGCACAGCAGACATCATTTAATATGCATAACATTACCTTCTTAGAAGTTGTTAATGGATTAAGCACACTTTCAATTTCACTTTTTAATTTTAAAATCTGTTAAACAACAACTACTTTGAAGTTATTTAAGAAACAGTAAACAGACGGGACCGTGCAGTTGGTTGTAGATTTCTGATAGGTCAAATTGAGTAAAGTGGAATCAGAAGTTAGCTAGATTTTATTTGGCTTTATCGTCCTGCGTAATTATAAGAATTTTCATTTACTTTTTTGCAGTTTTTCTAACTTGCTAGCAGTCTAGATGCGGAAGAAGATAATTTATTACAGTGGTATGAAATTGTCTTATATAGTTCAGTCAGTGGGATTTTTTTAAAAGTTGTCGACAGATAATCTTAGGTTGTCGACAGATAACGTTGTGATATTCGTGCGTTTTTTAGAATTTTGGTGTTCTGTTAGTTTACTCGTATAATCTGACTAACCGGTAAGACTGAAATACCAGTAAGGCTGCGGAGTAAAAAAGTCATTTCTAGGTAATGCGCTTGTAGCTCAGTAAAAAGTGCTAGGTTGTAGAAAA